AAAGACAAGTTAGAAAACAATTTTGAAAATTGCTGGAATAAAAGAGACCCTTCCCTACCAATGCCTTGAAAATGACCAATAAAAAGAAGGAATCCACTTTTGGATTCTTGAGTAATTTCCTCTACCACCTAAGGATGGTTGGTAAAGAGGTTTCATGCAATAAATGAAGGAAAAGTTTGGCCACTTATTCTGACTCGAATTCTGCATAATGCAATCAGACCTACTTTCTAATTCTTTGTACACTCCCCATATTTCCTTCCCCATATTTCCACCTCCCATTCAGACATGGTTATTATTTTCCTATGAAATAGCAAAAAATAGGATGAAATAAAGAAGGAAGGAAAGAAGAAAAGGAAGTAAGAAGGGAGTGAGGAAGGAAGTGAGGAAGGAAAGAAAGAAAAAAAACTTTCCTTAACATCACTGCCTCATATAACTGTAATACCCTTATAGAGATTACTGATATGTCTGCTCTCTTCTTAGTTCTTCACATGTTCTACTCCTATCTATACCAATCACATATCTGTTCTACTAACCCTCTCTAGCTATGCTCAAAAAGCTCACCAGTGCCTTCCTATATTGCGAAACCCCAACAGTATATTAATCATTTACCTCCCAACCTCTTATTATTATAGTAAATATACATATATAGACTCACTGCTGTTGAGTTGGATCTGACTCACAGCAACCCCTCCTTGGGTTTCTGAGGGTATCACTACGGAAGTAGATTGCCCCATCTTCCTTCCAAGGAGTGGCTGGTGGGTTAAACCGCCAGCCTCTGGTTAGCAAATGCCTTAGGCATTATACTACCAGAGCTCCTAAATATATACATTATATATATATATAAAACCCAGCCACTTCTCAGAAGGAAGATTGGGCAATCTTCTTCTGTAGAGATACCACCTCGGAAACCCAAGGAGGCATCACTATGAGTTGAATCAACTCCACGGCAATGAGTTTGTTTTGTTGTTGTTGTTGTTGTTATTTGCCATCGAGTCAGCACCGACTCATAGCAACCCCTCCTTGGGTTCCCGAGGCAGTATCACTACGGAAGTAGGAATGCCCAACCTTCCTTCCGAGGAGTGGCTGATGAGTTTGTTTTATACAT